TAGGCCAATCCGTATTTTCCGTCTCAACGAGTAATGAAATAACGATACCTTTGTTGCACTACATCAACACTCTCCGATGAAAACAATGACTAACGCAGCGTGCTCTGTGTGACAGGTCTACAGTTGATCCGTTCATTTCTGGTTTTTCAAATTGTTTTTGGGGCGACAGCACAGATTAGTCGCCGCCTGCTGTTATGGGAAACGTTACTACGCTCGCGCATGCGCAGAACGTACGCTCCACGTCGCCCCCCCGCTCGGTTTGGTGTGTGTCGGAGGGCTTTTTTAGGAGACGGGAGCCGACTGATCAGTCCGACTGCTTTTCTGCCGACGGTCGGCCGTCGGGTTGGTGTGCAGAGGCCTTTAGAGTGAGACATTTTATCCATCTATTTTTTTCATGTAGTTCTTTGACAGAAAATAACAAATGCATTGCCAGCCCTGTTGCATTTTGTGTATATAAAAGAAATATCATGGAGTTGATTATGTTAAAATCCGGATGAAGGATTTTTTCTTTCATTTTAGGGTAAATCAATCTTCTCTTCACTGATCATAAACGCTTCACTGCCTCCTAATTTCCCTGCTTAAAATTCTTCTTAGAATAGAATAAAATAGAATAGTACTTTTTTAATCCCCATGGGGGAAATTAATCTGCATTAAACACATCCAAACACCCCATATGCAAACACACAGTCATAAGCTGCAGAGGCCTGAGGGCACATTGGCAAGAGCTTGCATCTGATCTTGACTCTGACAACCATCTGGCCAGGGATTCAAACCGGAAACCTTTGGGCACTAGTCCGCTTCTCTTACCACTGGGATACCTACCACCCAGGTTTCCCACCTATTATTTATACCAGCCCGCAATAAGCCTAAAGCCTAAAGCCAGTCCTGATTAACAATTTTAGCTATGTTTTATATACACAAACATATATATAGAACATGCCCACATACAGTATGCTGTTCTGCTGAGCTTTTATTACTGTGTCTGAGATATTTTAAGATGTGTTTTATAAGTTAGATGAAGTTCTAACTCACCATGGTTTATATTAGCCCATGTGTAGGCGTGCGTCTGTTTAGAGGACGAATGTCTTGGCAGTATTTGCCCTGAGACGTCCGCCAACATGTTGAGTAGTTGGAAACAGTCATTGTGAGCTGCAGCATCCTTTGGCGTTCTAAAGACACAAACCAATGAGAATGGAGAAAACATAGCAGTGGTAACAGGAATTGTGTTGTTCTTTGCTCTTAGATCTTAGATTGTGTGTTTGATATTATTTTATCATTAACTATTAACCACTCTAATGTCTTTATTCTGCAAATTATTGTTTGTCCGTTGTATTGAGTGATGGAATATTTGGGCTAATTTGCCTCTATTACATAAACCTCTTTGACAACTCAATTAAATGTGCTGATTATCTTTTAAAATCGCAAAAATGACTTGTGTTTGTAGCTGCCCTTGTCATTGTACTCTACTACAAAGATTAAAGTCTCTTTCAAGTGCCATTTTTTTCACCCATATTTGACATTTTATGTAACCACAGTAAGATCCTTGTTTTTCAGCATGAGAATTCCACGTAGACTTTTAGATGATCTCAAGCAAAAGGTACAATTCACTCATGTAACAGCTGTGCAAAACTAAGCGAGTGTTAATAAAGAAAGAAAATAGTGTATCAGTGTTGAGTATGTGCAGACATTCAGATTTGTGTTGCAAGAAATGATAAAAAGCATTGTAAAAGCATGCATCTTTTAGTGTGTGTGTGTATAGGTATGTGTGTTTGTGTGTTTTGAACATGATCATGATTGCAGTCAAGGCCAAAACAGATGTTAGGTATTAATGAGCCATGTCCCAGCCCTTCATAGATGCTGTGTGTGTGTGTGTGTGTGTGTGTGTGTGTGTGTGTGTAGGTTTATATTTGTGTATGTGCATGAACTTGATAGGGTTCCATCTGTTCCTCCACATTAACTATTCACCGATATTAATCTGAAGACACTTTAAATGTAGAGCTGTGTAATTTAACCAGTTACAATAGTGTCTGTCTCTATGGCATAAACCCTCCTTAATCAAGCTCTTTGTTTTGTTTTTTTACCTCCTTATGCCACTGTTTTCACATCCCTACCTGCTCTCCTGCCAATCCTTCCTTCTGCTCCTATAGCTCCCTTCGGTCTGTGTAGATTTGATTAAGACTGATTTCATTTGACACATGACAGATTTTTGCAACAGCAAAGCCAAGAAGTTACAGTGTTATTAAAGTAGAATTATTTACTTTATAACATTTGTCATTAGTTATTATATTTTATTTGAAATGGAATCAATTTCTCTTGCAATACCTTATCTTAATCCTATATGTTTGAGGCACACTGCATGACTCCGTAACGAAGGGAAAACAGGTCACATATTTAATAGAAAATATGTGCAAGTGCCTTCCCTCCACTTCCCATCATCCCTCCTTCCCTCTTCCCTCCAGTTCAATGACAAGGCCTCGTATGCATCATGCTTTGAGAACCTGGTGCAGGCCAACGTCCGCAACAAGAGGATGCTGAAAGATGCTGTGCAGAACATCACCGCCAAGGGTATCACCAACTACAGAGGCGGCTTCGAGCTGGCGTTCGAGCAGCTCGCACAGGTAAAGTGCCAGTGTGTGGGCATGCGTGGAGGAATATCTGTGTGGCATCTGCTGTGGGTAACATAAGGTTGTGTTTGTTAGTCTGTTGTTTAATTATTTTATCCAACAATGTCCCTGGTAATATGCAGACCAATCCAGAGGCTTGATGAAACCCTGTGAAATCTACTTAACAGTTTGATATAATTTATGTTCATTTAATTTATCAGTTTCATTCAATTATATTAATTAAAAGAATGAGGGAAAACAGGCCACACTGGCAACTCAATCCCAACGTAACAGTAATGAAGAGTGAGTATATGTCGACCTCTGGTGGTTGTTTAAGACATTGCAGTTTTTTGTCAGTACAAGAGCTCATTTTTTTCTTGCCATCCTCTGTAACTGCATATGTGTAAAGAGCCATTACACTTAAATTCTTGTTGCAAACACTTTCTGCAGCTTCTTCCTGTAACAATAAGAATGTGTGCTTATTCATTTTCTTTGGTTAAATAGTCTTTAAAATACAAACATTTTGCCTTTATATCCCCTAGATGAATGTGTCAAGGGCCAACTGTAACAAGATTATCATGCTCTTCACTGACGGAGGAGAAGAGAAAGCAGAGGAGATCTTTAAAAAATACAACCCTAATCAAGCGGTAGGACTGTAAACAAGATGTTCAGAGAGTAGAATACAGCAGTCTTTGCTTTTCACCATGAATCTTGTCTGTTACTGACTTTCTTCTCCTCACAGGTGCGCATCTTTACATTTTCAGTGGGTCAACACAACTATGACAAAGGACCAATACAGTGGATGGCCTGCACTAATAAAGGTATGACGTTGCAATTGAGCTTTGGTCTCCATGTGACACACAACTCATCAGATATCTCATGTGTATTCTACTTATTTTAAAAGATACTTTAAAGGGTGCCACTGTAAACTAAATTACTTTAAAATGATTGACAGGTTCGGGTGCTCTGGAAAAACAACTGATAATGCTTTCTATACTGCATTAGTAATATAAGGAAAATGTTGACTATTTCATTTGTTGTGGGCTTGCCTTCATTTTACATGATCAAAAACTGTACAGAATGGCCCTTTTAAGTTAATCTCAAAGTTTTCTTTTATTCAACCAAAATTAAGAGGTGGATGGAGTGTCCTTTTCAGTGCAGTTCTAATTTGGGTTAGATAGGTTGTCAATACAAGAATAGTAATTTGTGGCAGCTTTGTCTAGCTAAATACATAAAGGATTATGTACTTGCCTGAGCTGATTTTCAGTAGTTGGGTCTAAATAAATCTTTCTCACACTGGATGTTAGAATAAACATATATCTCTGCCTCAGGTTACTACTATGAGATCCCCTCTATAGGTGCCATCAGGATCAACACTCAGGTAAACTCAAATTCACCCATATAGCACTACCATGGCTCCACTTATTTGTCCATGAATACTCACTAATTTACATGTCTTTCACCCCAGCTCAAGCTTAACCAGTTGTGTATTTCTCCCTCTTGTGGTGGATTGACTGATGTGCATGTAGCAAATTCATTCTCAAACGTTTTTCTTTTTTACAGGAGTACCTGGATGTTTTGGGCAGGCCTATGGTTAAGGATAACAAAAAGGCGAAGCAGGTTCAGTGGACCAACGTCTATCTGGACGCACTGGTATGTGTTATAACAGACACCTGATTACACACAAGTTTATACAAAGACAGAAAACACTTCAAGACCAGTGTGAGAAAAGACAGTGTCATTTGTAGTCAAATGTAGAGTTCTGCAAGAATGAGAAGAAATCTGTTTTCTGTCAGATGAAGCATTTCAGATAAGTCTCATTTAATTATACTAAACATTTGCTGTTTGTCATCCTGGTAAACTCAGCCTCAACTCTGTTCCAGCAGTGTTTGTGAAACGGACAGAAATGCTGCATCAGTCTTTTTTTTGTGGTGCCTAAGCTTCTGTCAAGATTAACTTTTAGGCGACAGTGTAGATAAGAAACCAGTCTGGTAAACTCAGCCAAATGGTTTGGATACTGTCATCCATTTACTGATAACATGCTGTCAACTTTTGGGACTGTATTGACCTTGACATTATCAGAAATGTCTCTGCCTTTTGTTATTGGAAATGGGATAATTTCAAGCTGTAGCTGTAGCGGTTTTTTAAATGACCCAGTGACACCCATGAGATATGAGTGGTGTCAGTGTTGGACAACTTTTTATTGATGTTTTATTAATTTATCAGATCACGCAAAAATTAATAACACTGAAGTAGTCTGTGAATTTATGCCATTAACAATTATTTTGCCCTGCATAACGTCATGTGTTGTATGTTTCATCTTCCAGGAGCTTGGCTTGGTGATCACTGGAACTCTGCCTGTCTTCAACAAGACCAACACAGGCTCAAAGGTAGGCAAAAATGGATTATCATGTCACTCACTTCATGTAGATCCTAATTTACTAATTTATTTCACAGACGCGCTTGTCAGTCCTACCTTTTTATGATATATATGCTCATTCCCCAGATTGTTTCCTGGTTCACTCACCCAATCTGTCTTCTGTCTCATTCATCTAGTATACAGTTGACTTTACTGACTAAATTTACTGTATGTATGACACTTTGACCCCATGGGATAATTGAAGTCTGCGGTTTCATGACACACCATAATGTTTACCAGACTAAAAAAAATAAACATACCGCAATAGTCTCAATTATCTTTCCTTACTTTTATCCTCTTTCTTGTGGCTCTTCCTTATATCCTTTGTTGGCGCTGAGGTCCCTCAAAGCTCTCCCACGTGCCTCCACAGGAAGAGAATCTGGGATGTCATAAAGCAAATATCAAAAAGAGATCAAACCTGCAGAGCAGAGAGACAAATGATCCGGTAGCTAAGTGCTTCAAGATGAGTTTACATGTCTATCTCGACAGGCTCAGGGTTACCTACACTATGGCTGGAAACGAAGGCTGGAAATGCCTTGTCAGTGACTCATGGAGGCATGTAAAGCTTTTGGGAATGAGACTTTCCAGATTTCTATTGCAACCCATTTCCTTGAAATCATTCAGAATGCACAGAGGGGCTTGACTCATCCAGAAAGAACAACAAGGACTCAAAAGTGGGTCTTACCGTGACTCTTTTTTCCCCTATGGTTTTGTCTCAGAAAGCACAGAAATTTCAAAACCAACTCATCTTGGGAGTTATGGGTATAGATGTCTCCCTGGAAGATATCAAAAGACTGACGCCGCGGTTTACGGTAAGACCACACACTACATAAATAAACACAATTAAAGTAGTTATCTTATTTGGTCCCTGGGTTCCTCTGTTCTTAGTTTCACAAATATCTCCCTCTCTATTTCTTTTCTCCTGTAGTTTGGACCAAATGGCTACTACTTTGCCATCGACCCCAATGGATATGTGCTGCTCCATCCTAATCTCCAGCCACTGGTAGGCCAAATCACTGGACCATTATTCAGAGAAACCAGAAGTTTTCTTTTTCTGTGGAGAGTCCCGTCGCATTTGCTGAAAGCCATTAGTTACGCATTAATATTGGTCAAACTGGCAAGAAAAACACAGCTTTCCAGATTGTAAAAATACTTTTCAGACTGAGAATACATAAAAATTCTTGTTTTAGCAACCCTTACTTACTTGTTACGAAATGCACCTTTGCGGAAAGATTCAATATATCTGTTGTCTTACATAACAAATATGATTTTAGCATTGTACTGACATAGCACAGCATCTCCACTGCAGATACACTGTTAGCTGGAGTCACCACACTGACTTTGTTTGTATTATTTGGCTGACTTTGCGGTCTTTTTAAAAAATGTCCTGATTACGTGGGTCCATAATGATGTTTGTTGAAACGCAGCAAGATGTTCCTTGTTGACCTTTGAAATATGCACTCATCTTGTAAATTACGTTTGCACAGATTGGTCACAGATGATTGCAAAATTCAAAAGTCAGTGTTAACAAATAGATGAGTGCATAATTAGTTCCATCTTCAAGGCTCCAAAAAAAGAATCTGTTTTGGAAACGCAAGACCAATAACTGATGCGTACTGCTAAATTTTTCTCCTTTGTACTCAAAGCCCACAAATTCTAAATTATGGTATGTATCACAGACTAATTGCTTGCATTCTGTGTAGACTGCCAAGTTTCATGAACCTGTAACACTGGACTTCCTGGATGCAGAGCTGGAGAATGAGATCAAAGTGGAGGTTTGCAAAATGGATTACTCCCAACTTTTTTAATTCCATGAGCTCATATCAGATTCAAAAGCATTGTAATTTCGGAATATATCATGATTAATTTTGATTACTTTTACAAATTCATTAATAAATAAATTTTGGGTTATTTGGTTGACAGATAAGAAGAAAAATGATCGACGGTCAAACAGGGAATTACACCATATCGACACTGGTGAAATCCCAAGATGAGGTAATTTTGTAATAAAAGGATGTTGGAGTCCATGACAGTTATAAACAGATTTGCTTAGAAAATGTAACATGTACTGACCAAACTGTTGCCCTCAAAGCGTTACATTGACCTAGGTCAGAGGACGTACACGTTTGCGCCAGTGAAGGGGACAGATTACAGGTAAATATCATATGTTAAGTATGTCTCGTGAAGCGATTAATCCATTGCATGTTAAGTACTTTTTTTGTACCAAACCTCAGTCCAGAAAGAGAGGAAGTCAAGCTGCTTTACACTGTCAAAGTTTGCAAAATGTTTATCATCATTGCGTAAAACCTTTTTGTTGTAATTGAGACTGGAACTGGACGGTGGTGTTAAGTTCAGGATAAAATCCAGGCTCAGTTTAGAGTGTTCTTGGTGAAGCCATGAGGGGCCAGTGTTCACAATTTATGTGTACTATCTGAAAAATTCCTGCTAAGAAATGCTTAACAGGACTTACTGACAGATTTGCTATGGTGCAAAGATTTTTTCTCAAAGCAAAGAGGGAAAATGTTTTTAGTGCGTTTTTACTTGTGAATTGGTTGGTTAAGCAAGATGTGTGTTCTTGCATTTAATGTCTCAGACAATGAAATGCCTACTTCATTCTCCAAGGCAGTAAAACAAAAGTACGGATTAACAACAATTCTTGCAAAAACATTGGTAAAACCACAAAATAATTGCAGAACATAAGCTTAAAGTGATGTTTATATAAAATATCCAATGCAGATAAATACTGTTATGATACTTTGATATGAGGTTTTTTTGTGTGTGTGTCCTCTCTCAGCCTGGCCCTGGTCCTTCCTGAGTACAGCATGCATTACATTCGGGCCAACATCGGCGACACCATCACCCAGGCAAAATGTAAGTGCCATCTAAATTAGTTCAATCTCTTGTGCCATTAGTTCTTCCACTCAGTAACATTACCTTCCATTTATACAGACAGTGGACAAATGTTGCTGGACTGCTAATGTTCTCCAGAGACATTATTGCTCTCCATGTAAGGCTGAGAAACACTTGCGCCTCAGCTTATGGTTCCTATCCATCACTTATAGTGCCCCATGCTCATATACATACACATCCATATACATTTACACCACCCCTGCATGCCCTCCCCCATTGTGTCGCTATGGCAACACACACCCTCAGTTGTGGTGCTGTTCAAAGTTTTTGTTGCCAGACAGCGGGACGAGTGGCTCCAGTGTCCCCTTTCACACACATAGTACTCATCAATTAATTTACTGCTCTGTACCTCACTGTGTGTGTTTGTGTGTGTGTGTGTGTGTCTACAAGTGTCTGTATGTGTGTGTTCATCCTCAAGTCTATTGGATACTATATAGTGGATCAGAGGTTCCATATGTGTGGCGTTGTCGTCTCATGTCTCTTTTGAGCCCTGTCTGTTCCCACTAGTAAAAGATGTCATTGACTCATAGTGTTACTCAAAGGACAGTTTTATAGTGTGTGTGTGTGTGTGTGTGTGTGTGTGTGTTCACTGCAGTTAAGATGGAGCCATCCCTGGTTAGTGTCTGTCCCTTTGTCTGTATGTTTGCTGGTCTGTCTAGTTGCACTCAGTAGCCAAACGTGGGCTTTAAAGAACGTTTTTGTGGTTTGGTGACAAGTTAGACAACCCTATGGTTTAGTATGTAATAAAAAATGTTTTTATATTATTACCAACCACTTTCCAAAGCATATCATCATACATGTTAAGTATAATTTCCCACCTTTAGTCAGCAACTGGCTACTCTTTACAGAAAAATGTGAAAATCAACTGCCAGAGACATGAAGCTTGCTTGATATTGGTAATCCATCACAGTGAAAATGTCAGCACCTTTGTTTTGTCTTGCAGAGTTTCATAATTCTCCTTGGTAGTGCTTCTTAAGGTTGTTCCAATGTCTAATGACATGTAAGGGTTGGCTTGGCACCTGAATGGCAATTTATGAAACCAGTGGATTAACAGGACACATTTTTGGTTATTTTGCCGTGGTTGTCATTTTGCAGCTGGCTCTGAAATCTTGACTTATTTGTGACAAGATAAGTCAATACCATCCCTCAAAAAGCTAACAAGCTAACTGTGGCTAAATGTGGCCACTACTTACAAGTCATTCACTCTCTCACTAACAGAGACAGTAAAAACTTTGACAATGTAAAGATAACAAAATTCAACTTTCTGCAAGTTGATTTTCACACTGATATGAAAAGCAAAGAATTTATGCTTAAATGGTTCAAAAAATAAGAAAAAGAAGTAAAGTGTACAGTTTATAATAGTTGTAATTATTGTTAAAACATGGAAACCCAGTGATGGGGCCATTTTTAATATGAAGGCTTTCTCACTAATCATAAGTGTAGTGTATACACTGCTGCACTCATATTCACGTGTTAGTGTGTTTATATGTTTAAAACTGAGCCTACACTCACACAAATGTATTTGTCCTTTCTGTGAGGACATTGCATTGACTTGCATTCAATCACTGGAGTCTTACCTTAACTGTAGCCATAGCAACTACAATGCCAACAACTCTAAATCTAACCTTAACTTCAACCTTAAAGTCTTGACCCTAAAATTTAATTAATAATCTAGTAAAGACAGTTTTTGTTCCCAAATAGAAGGGAAGTCCCCCTAAGATGACTTCATGAGCATTGTCCCCACAATGTCATTAATAAACACATACAAACACACAAATTCATACAGCATATCTTACCCTAATTTACCTCAAACATCCCTTGTATCTTCCACCTAACTTACAGGTTAAGTGTTTTGTACTTTGTATACAATATTCTTATTCAATGTCCATTTGAATAAAATATTGCGTAACCCTGTTGGCTTGTTTTTTCTTTACTGCTCTCTTTTCCAATGCCCACTTCCCTCTCCTTATCTTTTTATCCCCCTCCTGTTCTCATGCCCTCCTTGAACTCTTGACCATTCCTGGTGTGTTGGACCCCCTTCAGCGTTTGTGGGCAAGTATTTTCCTCCTGTGCTTTACCTCATAACCTCTGTCCTCTCACACTACTAGCAGACTTTGGATGTAACTCCACTTCTAACTCACTTCATCATATGTGGGGACTCACAAGCACAGAAGCATTTTGTTTTCATTATCTGTTTTTTTTTTTTTTAGTGGCTTCTGATTAATAATGACAATTTTGTTAACACTGAATCAAGCTGGCATCTGCTCTCAGAAGCAGCGCTTCGCATGCAATGCGCGCCCACACAGTGTGTCACAGATGGTGTGTGTATGTCTGTGCGCGCATGCATGTATTTAACCCCCACCTGTTCCAATGGCCCTCAGATGTGGTTTTGGCACTAACCCACTGTAGAAGGAAGGACAGGATGTTTGCATTATTAAAAGGTGAAGCCATAAAGGAGAAAGCTGTGAGTCTGCGCCCAAAACATGAGTTGGTGCTTTTCTTTGTTTTCTTTATTTTCTCTTTTTTTGACTCACTTTGAGTTTTACAGCCTTGTTAAACAAATCCTAATGAAAGACAGGGTCCCTCTAACACACTAAGCTTTGTATACTCTGTTTGTCCTTCTGTGTGCTTTGTCATCATTTTTGTCTTGTTAGTGGTCATTGAATCAAACATCTCCACGGCACATTTTTAAGCTCTGTGGTTCAACTGAAACTGAAGCCCAATTTGTGTCTGTTTTATATTATATAAATATAATATCAATTTAAAAACCCAAGTGGACATATCATATCCCAGTTCCAGCATCTATTTGTCATGCATTTGTTAAGTCTATGCAGGTTCTTGACTTGCATGTTCCTATCCATTCACATTTTGGAAGGATTGTAGCTGCATGTCTTAGATATTATATTGATTCAGTTATTCATAAAACTGGCAGGAATGTCATCATCAGTGTGAAAAGTCGTGCGAAAGAGCAGAAAATATAAGACGTTGTCACTCCCCAAATCTCCCTGCTATCCATCATTACTAGATACTTTGTTGGATTAGTAAGTGGTGACCGAATATCAAAGAAAAAGCACATGGGTGCAATTATATCCTAATCATGACCACCAAAGAGGACAAGGAGTACAGTATAATCAACTGTCAACACGACATGCTTTGGAGAATGTCAACTGAACGTTAAGGTTAAGAGCTGTGGTTAATATTCCTCAGTTCATTCCTGTGTGCAGTATTGTTATGCAAATACATCACTAAAGTGCAGTCACTCCACAAATTTACTGTATCACCAAAAGAATGCTAATACTAATGCTAAAAACACATCTACATCATAACTTTTAAAGCTCCTGACCACATTTTAAGCCTCTCTTTATGTTCTCCATCAGCACTGTCTCCATTTACATCCAAAGGCCTAAAACCTTTTGTTTGGAATCCAATATTTCTATTCAGGACTCGCTCTGTGAATAAAATATTGTGTGACCTTTGACCCCTGTGGTTTTACCCTGCCTTTTTTTCCCTTTCTTTTCCCTCTCGTCTTTTCCTCCCTGGGGGATGATTCTCTCGTTCGCTCACTTTCTCTCTGCTGGGATTTTTTTCCACTCCAGGGAAAAATGGCAAGTATTTTTTCCTTTACTTTCATCTCTCTCCTCCTGTTCGTGAGCCTCGTTGGTCCTTTACCCAGCATGTCTGGCCAAGTCTATTCTGGTCCTTCTTGTTTATACCTGATGTTTAGCTCTTTGTGCAAAAACTGTATTCTTTACAGTGCTAGATTTTTGTAACTTTTGCTTCAGTTAGTCCAGTTTTGTGAGTTATAGTCCTAATTTCCCCACTTCCTGAGTACTGAGTACCTACGTAACTCCTACCTTTACAAAGCTACCTTACATTTTAACTAAATATCTTAAACTTAGGACCTTACACATGTGTGGCAATGTTGAATATGTGGAGCAATTGTGATTATTTTTCTGCACAGTCTGCCAAGAGGTCCCTGTAGGAGTTCTCCCACCAATAACAGAGGAGACTCTGTTATTGGTGCACTGTTAAATATTCAGCAGGTGTTACATTCTGCCCAGCACCATCTGCATACAATAGTTACTTCAGTTTAATTTTAAACTGTCTAATATTAACCTGCATGAGAAAAAAATTCATAATGCTTTATACCTTTTACCAGTTTCTGAAAGCCTGCTGGCGGACAAGTTTGATGAATATGGCTATACATTTATTGCACCAAGGTAAGAAGACATGTAGTTTATTTGGATTACATTTTTAGATTTAGATATAAATTTTGTTACTTCTAGCATGATGACTATAACTCAATACAGAGGCAAACTTCAACCTTGTCAATCCCTTTTTTCTGCTTACATTTCTTCACTATAATGTTCTTATTTTGACCACAGAGTGTACTGTAAGGACTTAAAGCCACCTGACAAGAACAAAAACAACACTGAGTTCCTCATGGAGTTCAACAATTACATTGACACAAAGACTCCAAACCATCCCTTGTGTGAGTATCAAAAAAATAAGAAATGTATTCTGAAATACCTCTTTCCACCTAACATGCTCCTGGTGCCATCTACTCCAAAATCAAAACTTTTCTACTTGATGTTATGGGACCTCATTCTCACACCTATTAACATATCAAAGAGCTGTGAAGCTTTACAGTATCTGCTATAGTATGTATATGTGACTGAATCTGCAGCCATCTGGCTTGGCATTAAGGTGTGCATTGAAAATTTAATGGAAAAGCGCCAACCAAAACCTATTCCCAGAGGTCTCTCTTTCCAGTGAAATACAGGTCTGGCTGTTTGGTGTGCATGACCAGGCAAAGCTTTGTGATGTAGAACCCCTGTGTTCGTGTTACTCATTTGATGCTAACTCTAAAAGTCTGACCATCACACGCCTGAGTGCACATGTGTGAGGCACGTCGGCTTAGATGTGACACATACACGCTCGCACACGCACAATATTCACCAGTAATATGCCTTCCACACCCCACCTATAGCCGCTCGACCTCATCCAATTACTGTGTGTTTGTGAGAAAGAGCAGGACACGTCAGGCCAGGAGCACGAGAGGAGCAATAAAACACAAATCAGGGGCCAGTGGACCTTCTCCCAAACATCTGACCAAAGCATTAACATCCTTGCCATTTCTTGCATACACTCATTGATATGCATCACTCACTTTGCACACAAAGAGAGTAAAACAAAAGGTCCCAGGATATTTATAAAAGATCTCCTTTAAGTTTAGCTTGACGGTTTGAGTTTGAGAACTTAGTTCAAATATCTCAACATGATCAATCCAATAAAACTTTTCATCCAATTGAAATATTACTTTCACCGTTATTAGCTGCTGGTTTAATGGAGTCCATAGGGAGTTCAGAAGGGGAGAGAGAGGAGTATGGCCCATGTGGACTATTGGTGGCTTGAGTATCGTTACACGGTTTACTTGGTTAAGCCACTGCAGTGGCGAAGAAGCTGAAGTACATTAGGAATTCCTGGGCTGCCTTCAATAAAGGATCCCTAATGAAAACCACTGCACAAAGAGGGAAGGTGGGGTAGGGGGGAAATAAAGTGTTACACCAGCTGTTTTCTCTGATGTGTGTGGTGTGTCATAAAGGTTGGAGGAGGTGGTGGGGGTATATCAACGAGCCTCAATGTTAATGGACTGAAGCGCGTCGTCGGAGAGTTCAAAGGGATGGGCACGGCCCAAAAATGGGCGAACGGCTTTTATCACCTGTTATGTTTGTCATGTGGTCTTGTCGGATGTCTCAAAAAATAATTTGTTACACCTATACAAACCCACCACTTACACCTTGTCAGCATCAGGCACATTTATCTATAATTTTTTGTGAATTTAAATACGTTTCATTGTAACATACACGTACCATATAAGGTGTCTATTTCGATCTTGTTTCACAAGACAATTTTGAGATATAGCCTTTTCTTCAAAGACCCATCCTCTGTGAAAAAAAATCCCCTCTGTCTGTCCAATTGGTTCTATTTTGTTCCTTCAATTTTTATTGCATTTGGACCTTTTAGGTGCTTGTTTAGCAGTCTATGAACTGAGGCTTATTCCCATGTTGCACTCAATTTGTAATTCGTTTTGGATGCCTAAAAGGTGATGTTAAAATATTCCCAACTTTTTTGTGCATACTATCTTATTTTTCTTTCTTGTTAGTTTTTTTCCCTCACATTATTAGTCCCCTGTTAGCCATTAATGCTCCTCGGGCATTTATCCCATGTTTTCCAGTATATTCCTGTTACTTAGACTTTTCGGTCAAGTCTGAAACATCTAAAAGGACAACATAATCTCTGAGACACACAAAACTGACAGTTAATTTACTTCAACTATTTTTGATCATGTTAAGATCTCAAATCACCCAGCTGAACTTAAACTTGAAGCAGACACACAAATTGTATTACTAACCCTAACCCTAACATATTGAGGCTCAAGTGATGTTTTGCTGTTTAGGTAACGTGGAGCTGGTGAACCGATTGCTCCTGGATGCTGGCATCACCACGGAACTCCTCAAGATTTGGAAAGAAAATGAATTGCAGTAAGTGAAGCACCAAAACTTAACCAACGATGTATTTTTTTGATCCAGCAAAACAAACTGAAATGTGGCATCAGTTATTTGTTACTTGGTATTTGGTGATGAAAGTCCAAGTGGAAAAACTGAATACAGATGGCTAAAGTATTTCACCATCACCAGTAAATGTCATGCAGGCATAAAGCACATTCCAGATTTTTGTAACTGTATGTTTTATAGCTTTATCTTCTCTGCTTGTCAGGCATGGTGTCTTGGCCAGATTTGTTACCACCGATGGAGGGATCACACGGGTCTACCCCAAAAGGTACTTGTCAAGCTCATACGAGAAGGGGGTTGATTTAGAAGCATGGGAAGGAGTAGATAATATGTTCAGGATTATCTGCTAAAGAATAATGATGTGGTCAGCTAAGAAAGCCACAGCTTACCCATGAAGGTGCTTTATATTCTATAAATAACATTTTGATCATTCATCCATCCTCCAATTGCGGCTTGTTCATGTCTGAGTCATGGTGGTAGCAGGCTAAGCAAAGGCCATAAGCCCTTATCCCTATATCCCTAGCTACTTCTTCCAGTTCCTACTGGGGGATCCCAAGGGTTTCCTTGGCCAGAAAGGATATATAATCCCTTCAGCAGGTTCTGGGCCTCCTAGGGTTTTCTCCTAGTGGAACCTGACTGAAATACCTATGGAGACATTTAAGGGACATCCTAATCAGGTGCCGAAACCACCCCAATTGGTTCCTTTAAATGCAAAGGAGCAGTTCTCCGAGCTCCCTCTGGATGTCCTAACTTCTTACCCTACCCTACCCTTACCTTAAGGGTGAGCCCAAACACACTAGAAAGTAGAATGACAGGTAAATAGAAAGCTTGATCTTCATGCTTGGATCTGTCTTCTCATTGACAATCCAGTACCATGACCGGTGGTCTGGTAGATGCTGCAGGCTTCCTACATGTCATAAATCATCTGCATAAAAATACATATATACTTTAGCATCATATTGCAAGTGGAAGCATATAAAGAGAAAGTGCAACCAACCCAATGGGCCCTTGAGGTATCCTTGAGGGGAGACAACTTGACTTGTTGAGTTTTGATAATGGTATTGTCTGTGTGTGTGTGTGTGTGTGTGTGTTGTTTTGTATAAATGTGGTTGACAGTGCTGGACTTTCTTGGGAAGAAGATGCAGAGACGTATGAGTCCAGTTTCTATAAGCGAAGTTTGGACAATGATTTGTACATCTTCACTCCAACCCACCTTAAAGAGAACAGTGAGTAAAAATGTGTGTGTTTGTGTGTGTCTGTGTCACATGTCTCAGTGTGTATGCACATATATAGATTGTTGCCTTATTTTTTTTCTTTCAGCAAGTGATGACTCAGTCCTGGTGAGCAGAGCAGTAAACATCGAGATTAATGATATCACACTCAAACCAGCTGGTAAGGGCACACACACTGACATGCAAAGAGAGAGATGGGGTTGTATTTGCACATTTTTTGAGTTGTATCTCTCACTCTGCCACCTACATATAAACTCACTTACACTTACAGCTATGTGTCTTATTTACTCCTATAGCTATAACCCTATTAATTCCTTTATATCTTCTGACACATACATAGATAGTCTCCTATTTACAGGCTGCTACTCCTATTTTTCCCTCTCCCTCTGACATAATACACACAAACACACACATACAAACCACACATCAAGTTGTCTGGTCTCCTGTGATCCTTGGCCAAGTTTGCATTTTCTAAGTTCAGAGAGTAGAGTTGACACAGAGGTCCAACATGATGTAGGATGTCTGGCTTTTTTGTTTGATCCCAGTGGTCGGTGTGAAGTTGGACATTAGTGCCTGGATGGCGAGCTTCATCAACACCACGCAGAGGATGAATGTGAGTGGATTATATCTGCATGACACATACACACAAGGACACACACTTGATCCAGCCTATGACTTTTCATTTATCTATCTGCTCTGCTGTATTTTCAGTGCAACGATGAGATCTGTGGCTGTCAACGGAACGATCCGGTAAGAAGTTTAATTGCATATTTTTAAGTTTTCAGCTACTTTTTATGGATAAAAGTCATGAGCATGCAACACTGGTTTAATCTCTATGTGATTCCAGTATATAGACTGTGTCATTCTGGATGACGGGGGCTTCCTGGTGATGTCCAATCAAGATGACGATATTGCGAAGGTGGGCTTTTGCATTGTACTCTTACTCACAAAACTAAAGAACAAGCCATTTAAACTCTGATTCTGCAGTGTCAGAAAGAATAATAAAATATTACTGGTGTGTCTTAAACTTTAGTAACACTTCAATTAAGACACATTCGCTAGTGCTTTATAGGTCAGGTATAAGTTATTTCAAATGTTGGGTAGTGAAAAATCCCATCGGTTTGTTAATTAGTAGTAGAGTTTTTATATTACTGAGTTATAACTATGTATAAAGCATTAGTAAATTATTGATTAACCATTAACAGGATGATATTGATATTAGCTATAACTTCTTCATAAAGGATGCCATTTTAGAAAGTGGAGCTGAATTTATTTTACGGTTAATTACAACTTGTGTGTTTGGTGCTTAGTGCAGAAGAGAGCAGAAATGGATGTTTGAATGTTTTTCCAAATATCTTGACATTGTGGATTAATCTGGCAAAACACTTTTTTTTAATAAACAAAAACACCCAATTCAAGGTCCACTAACTAGCCTTATCAGAGCTTTCACCTGCATCTCATGATCTTCATCAGCAAATGGAGTTTATCACTCCCAGACTGGGAAGGATCAAAAGCATGTATTACCACCTGAAATCATGTCACATGATGACAACTTAAAGCAAACCCCATGCAATAAACCATTGCTTTCAAAATACCATTTGTTCTGTATGAAGAACTCACAGCACCTAATGCACAGAAAACTTCTATTAAATCTTAAATGAGGCCCAGTTTGACTTCGTAGTATTTAACTGTGATCAGCCAAACCTGCTGTGAACCTTCAATCAGCCTCAGTTTGCCCTGAACAACCCAAACAAAAACCAAATGAATGAAGCCACTCAAACACAATTTGATTTCACCCATCTTTACACACACAAATACATATAGAGTAAGCACACACATTTTTCCCTTTGCCCTATGCTAAAAGCTAAGAGCAGGCCCCTGCAGTCATCTGAGTAAATGTTTTTTCATGCGGCCTCGACTCCTTCCTAATCAAGGCTGGGTGTGCGCTGGATAAATCAGTCGCCCTCTGAAGTTTGGCAGCAGCACTAAAACCCAGGGGCCTGAGGCCGTGTTTGGAGAAGGCTGTGTGCCCTCAATCATATTTCCTACAGGAGCAAAGTTTCTCTCTCTCTGTAAGCTTCTCGCTTTCTCTGCCGCTTTATGTCTTTCTCTCTCCAGCTCGTTCCTTTTCTTTCTCTGAAACCCTCGGGGAGTCTGCAGCCAACAGGGCTGTGACTGTTAATTCATTATTTGTGTTATTGCGCAGAGAAAGGAGAGACGGCTCCCTTTACCTTATAGATTGGAAGATTTATATATCCTTTGGCTGTTAGACTAAAGAGGAATGGATATGTGGAGGACGCCTTGTTAACGGTGACCTTACAAAGTGGAAGGAAAAGGGATAGTTTGCATTTCCTTACGCACATTGCACTTCTTTCAGCACACACACACACACACACACACATCGATGCGTACTACGTACTGTACACACTCCCTCCTGGGTACACAAGTACTTAAACACTCCCATGCACACGGTCATGTCACACCTCTGAGATGCCGAGACAAACTACTTCCTCTTAGTAGGAATTTATGGCTGCCTGGTGGACTGTGTTAATCAGATTATACTGAAGTCCATCATCCTGGTTTGAGGGAGATTTACTGAGTGTGTGGTGTATGTGCATGCGTCTGTAAATTCACTGTGAATTTCATTTTCTTCACATGTATACTCATTGACTGTTTTTGTGCATGTGTTTTACATAGATTTAACAATCTAGAGTTGACAGTTTAAACGTGTTTAAGTGCTCTGTAAATGAAACCCTCAGTCAGTAACATTTACATTCTATAATGTGCATTTTAAAGGTGCTTTACTCATGCAGAGGGTTCAAACATGTCTGGGACTGCGTACACTGATGTGTGTTCATGAAGTCTAGTATGTTTATCTGTATGCTTGCATCTACTGCAAGCAATGCTCAGTGGTTGGAAGTTATTTAATGTGGTCTAAAGAAAACAGACTTACAAGAAAGTAGAAAGTAATATCTTTATTCCATAAAACTTTGGCCATTAAAGAAACATCTCATCTTTAAGGAATAGTTAGACATTTTTGGGAAATACATGTATTTGCTTTAGTGACATGAATTAGATGATGATGATGTCTGTACAATAAATATCAGGCTTTCACAAACAGCCAGTTAGCTTAGCATCAATACTGGGAAAAGCTAGCAGGGCGCTGACCATTGTAACATTATTGGTAGCGGCTCTTAAACTTAACCAAGGATAAAATTGACAATGCACAGGATTACGTGCTGGACTATTTCTTAGCCCAGAGCAATAACTTGGACCTGCAATCTCTGCTGGCTGTATGGCGCAAATTTTTATTACCTCCTCCTTGTCCTTAGATTGGGCGGTTCTTTGGTGTTATCGACCCGATCCTCATGAAAAATCTGGTCAACTCGTCCCTGTTCACCTTTAAGAAGACCTTCGACTACCAGTCACTCTGTGACCCCAAGAAAGAGAGCAAGGCGGCTGCAGGCCTGCGATCCGTCTACGTGGTGAGTTACATAAGCCAGAGACCATTCACACACAACCTACCACACTCACACACACACAGAGCGCCACCCACATGTGCACACCCGCACTTACATGTTCACACATTTTGATTTCCATACATATACATTTACTTATTTCCCTGCATGAACACACGGACACATGCAAGTACACATGCAGCCATTCGTAGCCATACCTGCTTGCTCCAAACTGTCACACACATGCACACACACAAACCTTCACTCACCAGGGAGCCATAAATCTGGATATAGCAGATGAGAAGGGAAGCAGAGGGTATGGTGAAAGCGTTAGAGTGGGAGTTGCAGTAACAGTAACAGGATTAGGTGGTCTAGCGTGCTTGGCTAACACACCAAGTGATGTAGAAAGAGGCACTGTTTTTCATCACTTACAAAACATATAACTCACAGTGAAATGACGCAAACATGTCCGCTGACATCTCAGTGTTACCAATGAATTTCTCTTAGATGCTGAAAGGTCATTACAGGTAGCGGTTAAGCAGAGGTAAAAAGTAAGATTCAATTATTCGTTGGTATTTACAGATGCAAAAATTCCACTCTCCAGAAGACAATTGAAACCATGTAATTTCCCACAAATGTGTACATCACACTTGAGTGAGCAAGGTGAGATGAAAGGTACAGACATCTTCTGATCAAAGATGCCGTCAATAGATGGTGATGCCTCTGACACGGTTAGTTAAGACTCCTTGATGACTCAACACGACATCAAGTGCAGAGAAAGAATACAGCAGTGATTCACCAAAACAAGGCCCTCGCATGCTAACCATAATCAAAGCAGCATGTTGGGTCTTTGATTCAAACCGTGTGCTGCTTTGTTTTCTCACTGGCTCTTTGTTTACATATTTATGCCCGCATCTGTTGGAGGATTGTGTTCTAATTTCCTTTGAGAGGGAAGAAAATAAAATCTCTGGCTGGACCTTTGGTCTTTGTGCCTAGCAGAACTGGACTGTCTGCAGCCACTGTAAACCCAAGCAGGATGTTCAGATTGGGTCAACAAGCTTAAAATGATTTGTCAGAAGATTATTAAAGACTTGATTTAGTCCTTTTCTGATTTTAATTCTCATTTTGTCTGTCCCTCTCAGCCTACAATTGCAGATATTTTGAATTTAGGATGGTGGGCGACAGCTGCCGCCTGGTGAGTCCTTTTTTTGTGAACTCTTTCTAATGTGGTTAGTGTTTTTTCAGATGATTAATAACAAAAATATACATTATAAAAGCCATTATTTTAAGTCCTTAAACTCAGATGCTAATGGAAAGCAGGCAAGGATTTGTTCCTTCTCTTGATTTATTGACACATTGGCATTTAATTGTTTGATGTAGATTAAGTTCCAATGAATCCAGACATTGTTCATCCTTTGTTTTTGCTCTTAGGTCAATACTGCAACAATTACTGGTCAGCATCACATTCCCTAATTTCCTGGACGCAGGTGAGCTCCCCTCAATTTGACAATTGAAAAGAATAGTGCTTTAAGGTTTGTTACAATATTGAGCTACCTCTGGACAGCCCAAATGGCCTCATTATGGAAACACAATAGCAATAGATGCTCATTTTTAGTTACTTTGACAAGGCCTTAAGAGATACTGAACGCACTAATTCCAAGCTTTTTCTTTATCTTGAAATTCTAGTGCAATACTCACCACATGCCAAGAATATGTAGTTAGTCACAATATTTTTCACAGGAACAGTTGCATGATCATTCATCGTCAGAGGATTTCCTGTGTACAAGATGTTGCTCGCCAGACATAGACCGTGCAAATGTGGAGTTGCTTGTGTGCGATAAAAAATGTGCTATTTGAAAAATACAGATTACCAACAGATCCAAAACAAAATAATAAGTCTCTCTTTGTTTACAGTTGTATATGCCATGTGATGAAGATGATACTTGTTAAGAGATCAGCTCTCTAAATTATGAAAAAACACATTTTCTGACGTACTTACTGGTATCGAGCTGTGCGGATTAAATCTGGATTTAATTTTTCCAGGTTTTGAAATATCTCCCTCTGAGATTTCTTGCGCCACTTCAATGGCGTCTCCCGACAGTTGACCTCAAATTATCAGGACTATTTTTTCAGTACAACCATAACCAGCAAGTTACGCGTTTGGGAAATACATGTTGCTGCCTTTTTTAAATGTTCGCTTTGTGTCATTTTAAAAGTTAAAGTCAGTTAAACAATTTGAAGTGTGCACAGAAGAAGCACCTACGAGGCAGGCCCTGTATGACCATGGGTTTGCTCATCTGTTCACTATGTTGTTTGTTCATGTTGTTTGTCCATTGCGCTTTTTTTTTTTTTTTTTGCATATACAAAAGGGATTCACGGTATGTGATTTTTAAGCACCATAAAGTCCCAAGAGCCCCCAAAAGAGAAATCATCTTGTGCACCTGGATATATAGTAGGAGCCAGACAGCCAGCTCAAGCTTAGTGCATTCTACATTTACAATGGAGTAGCATGGTTTTCTCATTGTAGTGGCTATTAAGTCAACAGATGCCCTAAGTAGTCAAACATAACTAAATATTAACAATGTCATGTTTGAGTCTCACTCCTGTTCACATGAATACACCTGAATGTTCTTGTGTGTCCTTCCGCAGCCGAGATGGATGATGAGCTATCAGATGCCATGCTTAAAGAGGTCTGCATCACAGAGCAAACTCAGTACTACTTTGAGACCAACAACCTGTCTTTCAGAGGCAATATCGACTGTGAAAACTGCACCAGGTGAAAAGATCCATTCCTCCATATAGTGTACATATATGCTCACAGAGTATAGTTAAGGTCCAAACACTTACCCTGACTTGCAGTGATTTGTTTTTTAACCATGAGACACAAATGAAGTCCCCAGAGGTGGCACTAAGAGAGGGCTGTAAAAATTCACATGCCATGAAGGTGAAGTCAATTCACTAGTGTGGACCACCGTCTTGGCATGTTCGTGTGTGTGTGTGATTGTGTGTGTACGCACGCCATTTTAAGGCCCCCTCGTGCCGGCTAATGGAGTGCCTGCCCGCATGCCGAGCGGCACTCCCGGACATTAGCTGCACACACGTTTCTTTTTAACGACCACCATAAAAATAAGCAGAGAAAATCATTTGTGCACCAGCGACATGTGGGTTTCAGTAAAGGTCCCGGAGGTGGGGTGATATGGCAGGTTTGTGTCCCCTTAGGAATAAAAGCAGTTAGGAGACTTGATAAAGCCATCCACAGTGTGCTTTTCATTGTGTTAAAGATTACAAGGTTTCCAGGAATAATTAATGTTCTATAACACAGCAGACTAAAATCAGTGTCTTCCTTTTATTGCTTTCTGGTTAAATGTTCAACTTCTCAGTGAAATTTTATCTCCATCTTTCCTGGACTCTCGCCCATGTGTCAGCAACTTCTCTTGTGTCTCTTGTGTGTCTGCTCCTCTCCAGGATCTACCATGCTGAAAAGCTGCCCAAGACGAACCTGGTCTTTATCATTGCTGATGCAAAACTCACCTGCTCGTCCTGTGACACCAAGCTGTTAATACAGGATGAACAGCAGTGTATCCTTTTACCTAACGCAGCTGTCATCTGGCATAGAACATGAACATTTGATTCAGTGAACAGATGTTTGATTTGTTCAGTGAAAATGTTTTTGACAAGATAACTGTGGATGAACGCTGATGTACTGAAGCTACTGGCAGGTATTTTCACCACTGACTGCTGAAAGGGAACTACTCATTACTCACTTTTCCCCTCATTTGCATCTGAATAATGAGTGAGCATTTCCACAGTAATTGACATTTAAAATGTTGCCCAGAATTCATGAGTGGGTCTGCACTGGGTTTCACTCTGTCTGTAAGGCAGATGGTAGTGTGGAATAAGTCTGCTGAGTAGCTTATAAACAAACCTATGATGTTCTCTCAGACACAGAGGGCTGTGGTCAATTATATATTAAGCTCCTTGGAAAACACAATGCCTGAGAATAATTGCCATATTATTGAGGAATTGAGCAATGTGCTTGAAATCCGAAAATAGACAACTTGCCTAAAGTTTTAATAGTGCTTACACAACTTCACTGGATCTGCTTGATTTGAACATTAATATAATATATCCTGGTTTTTTTCCACATTAATCAGAATGTTGTTTTTAATAATTTTCCATGGGGTAAGTAGTGTCTACTGAAAAGAGGCTATTTCTTGCTGCTATTATTAACTCAGAATCACTCAGAAACTGTGTTATGTTCCTGACTTTACTCATGCAGCTGATGGTCCTGATCCCTGCGAACTGGCTCACAATCCTCGGTACAGGAAAGGGCCCGCCGTCTGTTTTGATAGCACTGAAAACGTAAGTTTCTTTCATCAAACATGGACTGCTTCTGGTGGAGAACAATTTGAACTTGACATGTTCTTGCTAAGGGTGCTCTGTGTAAGGTTTCATGTATCGTTGCTGCTTTATAGGTCTCATAGGAGTTAAAGAAGTTTGCAGAAAATCCAGCCTGAAATCAGAAAAGCCTTTAAAATTAAAGTGTGTGCCCCGAGGCGGAAATTATTTAAGTTTGTCGCCAAGGACAATTAAGGCCTGGTTACAGCTCGCAGGACAGAGCCTTACTCAGTACTTATAATAAAACAATAATTAATCATCTGTAGATCTAAACCTAATATGTTTTTGAATACACTGAGGTAGGGCTGGACAATTAAAGATGGAAAATTACGTAATTCTCAATGAAAAGGATTGTCTGAATCTGAGATGATTAAAGCTGTATTGGTTGATATTTCATGTTTTTTTTTTTACATTTTCAAGTTAAAAAAACAGAACACTGACTTCAGAACTAGTTATGGTTAAGTCGTCAGCAAATCGTGCCTATTTACACATAAATTAGCATCAGCTGTGTGTATCTGGCCACCTGACAAATGGGAGTCAAATATTCACTCTCCTTTTAGCTCTGTTTTGGTTTTCATTAACTACTGAGGGAAGTAGTGCTCCTTAGCTGCTAAATGCTACACTGTTCACCAGCTAGTCGCTAACTTTGACTGTCTGCTGTTTGTTGCTGGATGGATAGCATACAGTGGGTTTATCAGAGCCCTTTTTTTCAGTAAAAACAGATGCCTGCTGCTGCTGAAAACAGGATTGATGAGAGCAGTGAACCAAAACAGTAAAGTTGCGGGCCGTAAAACCAAAACAATGAGCTGAAAGTTGTTGAAATGCTCTGTAGAGCTGATTGGAAGTGCAGAGTCAGGTGATAATTCTCTGTGGGTTTGTCACTACAGTCGACCCCTTTCACATCACACATAGTCATTTGATCCATTGTTATTTAAAAAAATTTAATTAAAAAGATTATAGTATCTTTAAACTGAGAATCTACAAAAACCAGTGACCAGACTGTAATAACTCAGGACAAACAAATCATAAATTAATTACCATGAATGAAGGAAATATTGTGCTATGAAGTATTACCACATTTTATCATTACATTTAATATTATCAAGGTTAATTTGATCATTTACTTCAGCATGAATTTTAGTTTGTATCAACCAGCCCTACCCCCAAAGTGCCTGTTGTTAGGAGTATTTTTTCACATCTTTTTTTTTTATATTATTCCTTCCAAATGTATACTCCAGATGAAACAACTTGATCTGTTTTGACATTTCACCTGGAAAAAA